CCCCCCCCCCCCCACACACACACACACCCCTTCTCCACCACAGATTTACCGGCTGGATGCTGGTCTTCAAGCTGCCGGGCTGCATACTGGCAATTGGATTGGTATTGGCCGATACGGCTGGTTAATAATCACCCATCGCAATTGGCCAAAAAATCTTTTATTGGTTGTACCCCTAGTTCCAAGCTATTCAGACAGTGACTGATACGAAAAGTGTGAAGACCGGTCAAATATAAGTGTGAAATAGCAGTGCTAAGTAGTCTCAATAGGTCTGGCAGCTAATGTACATCAGGCAGCATATTCATTCCAGAAAAGAGAAGTAAGGTAGAAAGCAATAAATTTATCCTTGTATTTCTGCTGTGTTTTGAAAGAGAGTGTTATATAAATCTTGGTGTCGAACCTTTTCCCAAAGCCTTGCTGTAACTTATCTTATGCTGCACATCCACCTCATGAATGTAGGTAAACACTATTTTATGAGAACATTAAACTGAGGCATGAAAAAGTTAGTAGTTGCTCAGGTACACCCCAGAGAATTTATGCACAGAAAAACTCAAAATTATTTAAAATTAATTACATTTTTTTACATTGCATCTTATATCCTTAATATTTGTGTCAAAAACCCCATCTGTGTGTGTGTGGGCCCCCCGATGCGTGTCTGTCCCACCCCTCCTTCTCCTTCCCCTCCATGGTACACAACCCCCACCACCAGTGGCATCAGCAGGCAGCGGGCCCTCGGAGTGCTCATGCTGCGGCAAGCAGTCACCCAACAGTGCACAGCTCTGGCTGAGTCCCAAGGGCTGCAGTGGCAGCATGGAACCAGCCCAGCCCTGCCCATTGGCACACACCTTCAGACCAGACTGGGCTGGCTCCATGTAAGCACATGGGGCTTGTTGTGGGAGCTGCGCACCATCAGGCCAGATGGGCTCTGAGTCTCCACGTGGGGCGTCTAGTACTTCAGTGGGAAGTTGCACATGGGGACACGGAGTCAGGTGCTATAGGACCACGTGGGCGCCATGCCTTCATGTTCAGCTTCCTGCTGGAGTGGTGGAAGCCCCACATCGAGGCATGGAGGCAGGTTGGCCTGGCCCAACGGCCTGTGCTGCGAACTCCACGTGCCAGTACAGAGCCTGCCTGGTCTGGCTTGAAGGCACATGCCAGTGGGCTGGGCAGGCTCCATGCTGCCACGTGCCACTCCTGGGACTCAGTGCCACATGCTACTGGGAGTGCTCTGCCTGCCACGGCCATGAGCACCCCAAAGGCCCACCTGTTGCTGCTGGCGGATGTGTGATGGGGGGCCCATGCCTACCCACAATCTCCACATGCACACACCCCACTTCCTGCAGGCAGGAGCTCCCCTCCCTACTGACCAGATGTCCAGTGGCTTGCCACCATGCTTGGTGCCTTCATATGGGGCTCCCAGCTGGAGTGTCAGGAGCCCCGTGAAGGCACAGAGCCTGCCTGGGTTAAATTATGCAAAATTATGCAATCATGTGGGGCATATGTTTTATGTGCAAAATTGTGCAGGTGCATAATTGTATAATTCCCTGGGGTGTACATAATACAAAGCAGGTAAGACCTCAGGAGCCCTGACTCCCACTACCCACTTTGACTCCTTGGTCACATTTGCATGAATGTTTTAGGATGTTTTAGAAACAGATGATGCCTCTGAAACTTGGCATATCCTAATTTATGAATCTGATGATTTGATTGGGCTGAACAGTGTTGATAAGCTCAATGATACCATTTACCATCTGCTTTCCACTACAGTGGTTATAGTTAGTTATTTTTACATTAGCATGGTGAAGTAGCAGGAAGTACCTCATATTTTAACAGGACCATTATAATACTTGTTTGCTGGATACCCACTCTGTCACTAATTGGGATAAAATCGATGACTGCTAGATGAAGTTACAAATATGCTCCATCTTGTTTTTCTCCTTCCTTGTCAGTTTTATGCTGGCATCAAAATCGTGGGAGTCTCATGGATTTGATTCCTGTACTTTGATTCTTATACTTTATTTAAATGGAAGCCTGTTTTTTTTTAATTCTTTCAGCAAAAGTAAGCCATCAAGACGAATTAACCCCACTCCAGTGAGTACTGAGCGCCCACTCTCCAAACCCAAGATGTGCTTCACTTCTACACCAGTCAGCCAATCTCCAGCTGCTCGGTTTCCATCTGGAGCAAGTCATGAAGCCTTTGTGACTATTCAGGAAGGAAATGTTGTTTCCGCTGCAGGGAGCAGCCTTCAAGAGGAGAGAGAGATGCTGAAGAAAGAACGGTACAAGCATGGGTGGTGACAGATTTGCAGTTCCTAGCTCTCATTTGCATAGATGTTGCTAATGCAGAAGGCTGAGCTGAATAAAAAGTATCCAAAGCAGGCTGCAGTTGTTAAAGCAAAAATTGATGTAAAAGTGAATGTTGCAGTTACACCTCACTGCCTCCATAAAGGTTTTGTGCTCCAAATTATGTGCCCTCAGGCATGTCTGTGATCCCATTGTCTTCCAGTGCAAGTCTACTGAAAGCCAATTGTTTTACACAGGTGTAACAGGGAGTCTTGTGTTAGGGCAGCGTGATTGCATATGTGAGAGCAAGGGCATAAATTGCCTTGTAGCAACTTAATTAATTTTGGTAATATGTGAGAAGTGTGACTCGGGATTTGCAAGTCAGGCATACAAAAAGCAATTCTTTTTTTTACAAACAAAATAAATTAAGTTTGGAGTTTTGGAACAAAGTGGAACGACTTTCTACTGGAAGGAGGAAAGTGAAAGGATTTTCTAGCATGCACTGAGTAATGATGTGACAGTTGGTTCCTAGTTGTGTGTCTCTCACAATTTGCTGTGTGATGTTTACCTTTACTGAGGCACAGTAAGGTGGAACATAGTAGTATTCCCTGGGGGGGCGGTGTTTGGAGGATTAATGCTTCTAAGTTTTGTTTGAAAAGCCATTATTTATAGGAGTTTAAAAAAAACCCATCAGCATTCTGCATAAACTGAGTTGACAGACTCCTTAGGGAGGGGTATACTTGAACAGCTACCTAATGTATCAGATGGTGTCCCATCTCCCCCTTACCCTCCCCATTCTTCTTTTTAGATTGCAGATGCAGTAGGATCCTATTATAAGGACTGATTTGTACAACCAGCTTACCCTTTTTGGTTTTTTTAATTGAAAGGATGATTGCATGTGGATCCATGAAATATGGGACTTTTCCAAGGCAAACATACAGAAATGTTCATTTTGAATGGATGGAATGAGTCTGATTGGACATCTAGAGTGAAATTTTGGGCCTAGTGAAGTTAATTGGGTAAGAATTTCTTCCTTGAGGGCCAAACCATTTTCCCATTTAACCTTGCAGCTTACTTAAATAAGCCCCGGATTTGGCCCATAATAGTGAAACAGATCTGTCGAGTTTTGAGTATGTGTGAGTTCAGGAAACTGGACTTGATAGCCCAGGCAGCCCCTTCCAGCCCTTTAGTTCTCTGACTGGCTGTAATTTACGTTTCTATTTAGGTTTTGGACTTTAAGCATGGTCTAAAAGTCTGACCTTGAATTGGCCTTTAAAGCCTTCTTAAAATCTCTTTGAGGCTGGTTACTGCAACTGAAATGCTAGTAAACAGTAACAAACAAAGAAAATGAAATTCACGCCCTAGGTAAATGACTGAAGTGCAACTGAATGGAATTAAATGTATTTAATTTAGGCCTGAATTTGGTTGGTTCATTGTCTTTGCTGGAAGATGGCTTTTTAGAAAGTAATTTGCACCTCTGGGTATGAGGTCCTTGCACTAGCTAGTGCAGGATAATAGAGAAATGTCACTGAAATGCACCTAATCCAGTTCCACAGCATTTTCTCAGTGTCCCCTTTAGTGTGTGGGTTAGATGGACTTTGAGATGGGGTAATGAATTATACTCTTTCGGGTGTGAATGTTCCATTTCCTTCTAAGATGGTAGTCAGATATTTAATTTCTGTTATTTTCTTTAGACATCTTAACTTTTTGTGAGCTGTTCTGAATGTTGTTGGACTTTGAACAGAAGTTTTGGTGAACTGTTCACGTTGACATGGATGCCTTCTTCCTGAGTGGCAACAGCAAATTTAGAAACTAGCATTGGTGCAAATAATTCATTCCTTACAGCTTTGACTACCTTGCATTTATCAGTTTACATTTCACCCACTGTTGCATTCCCAGTTCATCTGGTTGTTATCCCCTTACATTTATTTAGATTTGTCACGACTTACCTGCAATTCTGCTGCCATAGGCAATGCGTAGGGGGGCATGTGCTCCCCCTGAGAGTGGCCACTGCTGGCTTCTGCAGGCAGTCACCATCCTGCGCCCCCCCACCCTGCTGCTGACGCAGCTGCCAGCGGCTGCAGGTAGTCCCTGCCTGCCATTCACCCCCTCCGCCCTTTGCCACTGACACTGCCTGCAGGCAGTCCCCTCTCAGCCCACCCTCGCTGCCAGCGTCACTGCAGCTGCCTGTGGGTGGTCTCCACTCACTGCCACCGCACCGCCACTGCCTGCAGGTGGTCGCCGTGCTCCCCCACAGCCTGAGGAGGCACACGTCATTCATGTCTGCTGCATTACTGTAGACAGAACCTTGTTTTCACAGGCTTTGCAAAGTATTTGGGCATCAAAATATTATAAAATTTGAACCTAGGAAGAGTTTTGGCACCTCCTGTCTTAAGAACTTGATACCCTTTGTAAATATTAAGGAGCTTAGCTTCAAATAATTTGGTAGGTATTGTCCCCATTTTGGAAGATAGGAGGCTATACCACAAAGAGATTGAATAACTGGATTTAGATGACTTGCTGAATCAATGGCAGAATTGGAATTGGATGCAGTTTCTGTTGATTTCCAGTTCTGTGCCTTAACTCAGTGTTTCCCAACCAGTGTGCTATCAGAAATGAACATGTGTGCCACAGGTTTTTGCCATGGCAATTAGCTACAATAGGTATGGGGATGGGGAATGCCTTAACAGGTGTGCTGCGGAAAATTTTTTATTAACACAAGTGTGCCTTGGACTGGAAGAAGTTTGAATACACTGCCTTAACTATCAAAGAGTCTTTTCTCATTAGGTAGGAGATTAATTTATTCAGCAATTTGACCCCTTACCCTGTATGGAAACTCATTTATATTCTGTAAATGACACAATCAGTTTATACAGGTATCCCATAAAACCAGATCTTTCTGTCTAGATTCTTGTGATGTCATTCCAAGTTCCTTTGTATTTGTTGGCTTTGACTTTCAGATGCAAGTTGCTGCACCAGGCTTCTTCACCAGCAGGCTTGTCTCTGGAGCCCAGCACTCCTACCAAGCTTAGCTACACTCGAAGTGCAAGCCTCCCTCCTGAGGGCCATCTGATGACCTGTCCACATCTCAGTAAGGTCTCCTGCAAAAGGCAACTAGATCAGCTGGCCTTGCTTTATTCATCTTGTATAGCAGGTGAAGAACTATGGAATGAGGAGACTGACTTTTCTGTGTTCTTTCAGTTTGAGTCTGTCTGGAAAAATGAATTTGTGTAATGTCATCTTCACATTATTGTTTAGAGTCCACTACAGGCTTAATGCAAAGGGGTGCCACTTAGAGAGCAAAAACACAAGACATCCATTCATTCCTTCTCAGGCAAAAGCCTAGGAAAAAAGATGGGCCTTACACAGTTCTTTGAATCTCAAGTTACTGTGGTGCAATTGTGGAAAGAAGTTCCAGAACTAAATATTTCTTTTCAGATAGTACTAACTAAGATGCTGCGTTATAGATAATTTGAAAAATCTTATGGCTTACTGTTGGGGAGAATGGAGGTACTAAGTTTACCCAGACAACATGCATGCTATGCCTGTGTAGTGGGACTAGGGCAGTGAGGAGGTTTTCAGCTGATCCTTTCATGTATCAGCCACTATTGGATGCTTGAGGTTTGGTTAGCCATCTCTTGGCTTATTGAAACAGGCCAGTGCTGAGTGTTTAGTTGTCATCTCATGTGTTCTCTTCCAGAAAACCTGGTTCCAAATATTTTCCTGGAGCTCTTTTTTGTTTTGCAACTGCTAACTTCCAAGGGAATATCTGCAGACGATGGAGAGAGTGATTTGGAATTTAATCAAGGATGTAAAGGTCAGCAACAGTTTTGACTGGATAGGTTGATTTCTGCAACACTAACGGGGTACATAGCATGTCACTTTTAACTTAAGGAGTTCACATCCCGCTCAGGGGAGTTAGTGGCTGGAAATCATTACCACTGAAGTCTTCTGAGGCTTACATGCAGTGAGTTGTTACACTCTGTATCACTCAGTATGACACACCAACTCATCAGTGAACAAATACATAACTGAAGCTTGGTTGCTACCCAGAAGCCAATACCTACCTTTAGTCATTGTACAAACCTCTTTCTCATACTTGGCGGGTGGGGGGGAGAGGGAATCTCAGTATTGGGTGAAGGGAGTTACGTTGCTTTACAACTATAGTGTGGACCCCAAAACATAAGTAAAAGTGGATTGTGGCTTTCCAGCAAATGAGCTTGACATCTTTGCTCTAAATGAATGCATAGAAGTTTTATAATCCATCCTCATTGTCTTAAAAGGCAGGCTATGTCAGCTTACTGCTACTGTACCAGAGTCCCCCTGTTTATCTCTCAAATTAGATTTTCAGTGAGAAGTGATTCACCAAATTTCTTCCTCATTCACTTTATCCAAGCCAGAATTAGCTCGAGAATTACTACAAGTCTAAAGCCAGATTCTACAAGGACACAGATGCACTGGGACCCTTCAGTATCTATGGGATTTGTGTGCATGCATTTTCTGGCAAATCTGGACAGTACTTGTACACCGTTTGTTCTCTAGTTAAGATGGACAGAGAATTGCTTCCAGCTAAGACTAGCTCCTAATACTTCAGTTAAGAAAACGCTTCTTGTTCTGCATCTTACCCATATATCCAAAGCCCCATTCTTGACAAAGGTTATGTGCACTTCAGCTGCTGGATAGAGGATCCTGATGGTTAGTTGTATTTGCTCTAGTTTTAGGCCTCAGTTGGCAAATTCAAGATACAGGCCCACTGATATGCCCGTCCTGCTTCAAACCAGTTGAGATTGGACTTTTCTTTTTGCTGAAGAGGGAACATGTTGGATTCTTTCGTGGTGGGTACTGCTGCAGCAGCACACATCTATCTTGGAAGGGCGTCCGTTTGCAAGCCCCTCTATATGCTTAACTTCCTTTGGTATCACTGGAAATACCATGACTGTTAAGAATGACCTTTGAAAGGAGCCTGTTATCTTAGGTTGATACTTAAGGAGAAGAGCTGGTTAGGAACTTTCTGATAAACTGGCTTTCTCTGAAAAGTTTTATCAAAGCTAAAACTTCTGGTATGCTCCTGTGGTCAAAACCAAGAGTGATGGCAAGCAAGCATCAGCCTAGATTAACCCAGCAGTTGTGGCATTCATCTGGGATGTAGGAGACCCAACTTTAAACCAGGAATTTTAATTTGTCTCTAAGTACTCTAACTCTTAGATTATGGGGTGAGATGTCTTTAAATCTCTCATATTAGAACCGTTTGATTTTTGTCTAAAAATATATAAATGAGCTGAGAGAGAAAGAGAGGATGTAAACATATATTACAATTACAGCTGTCTGGAATTATACCAATATAATTCAATATATTGCAGGGGTGGGCAGTTATTTCAGGTGGAGGACCACTTACCCAGTTTTGGCAAGCTGTTGAGGGCCCCGTGGGTAGCCCCACCCTTTGACAGGTGTCCCACCCCCTGGTCACCATCTTGGGACCAATGTCCCAGGGCCAGCACTAGTGGGGCTCAAAGCGGGGTGCAGGTTGGCAGGGGTCTGTGGAGCCAGGCTGGGTTGCACCAGCAGGGAGAGGGGCGATCTGGCCCAGCTCCATAGAGCCCCTTCTGGCTGGGACCCCATGCTCCTGCCACCCTGCTCTGGGCCCTGCCGGCATTGGCCCCAGGACACCAGTGTCAGCCCCGTGCTCCTGCTGGCTCCCACACCTGCTCACTCCCAGTGCCCCCCAGCCCCACCCTACAGGCTGAAGGGCAGCATGCAGCCCTGACCCCCTGCTCCCCGGCAGGGAAGGAGCTGGTGCTGAACGCGGGGGAAAAGCATCCCCTTGCCTGCCCTGTGGCCAGTGCTCCTTGCTGTAGCCACTCGCAGCCTGTGCGGGGCTGTCTTTAGCAGGCACTGGCGGCCCCTCGTGGTCTGCGAGCGGCTGCTGCAGGGAGCACGGGCCACGGGGCGGGTGAGGGGCCGCTTTTCCCCCCGCACTCAGCACCAGCCTGTAACCCATCCCCACTGCCAGACTGGGCCCCTGCCCGTTGGGGTTGCGCGCAGCAGCAGCAGCTGCTTGGCACAGAGGAAAGCGGCCCCCCGCTTGCCATGCTGGACGGTGTTTGCTGCTGCTGCCTGCCCGGAGCTCGTGCACTGGGCAGCCCAGAGGTGGCGGTGGCAAATGCTGCCTGGCATGGCAAGCGGGGGGCCCACAGCTGCTGCCACCATGCGCAGCCCTGACAGGCGAGCCTGGAGCTGGTGCGGGGCCCAGGGTGGCAGCAGGGGTGGGTTACAAGCTGGTGCAGAATGCAGGGGAAAAGCATCCCCACGCTGCAGCCTCTCACAGCCTGCATGGGGCTGCCTGTGCCTGCTCAGGACAGCCCCTCATAGGCTGCGAGCAGCTGCAGCAGGGAGCGCCGGCCACGGGACAGGGGAAGGAGCACAGGGAAAAGCTGAGCGCGGAAGAAAGGCGGCCCCTCGCCTGCCCCATGGCCAGCGCTCCCTGCTACAGCTGCTTACAGCCCATGTGGGGCTGCCTGTGCCTGCTCAAGGCAGCCCCATGCAGGCTGCGAGTGGCTGCAGCAGGGAGCGCCGGCCACAGGGTGGGGGAAGGGCCGCTTTTCCCCCAAGCTCAGCTTTTTTCCCAGGGCCACTTCCCTGTGCTCTTTCCCTGCCTGGGGTCCTCCCCAACCCCCCACTTTCCCCTCGCCCCCTTACCTGAGGTTCTGGTGCGGGAGCAGTCACATGGTCCCAGGCCAGAAGGGGGTGGAGGAGTGTCAGGCAGGCCCTGCTGTTGTGGGAGCCTGCTGGGGCTTCCCCTGGGTCCTAGTGCCCCTGCCTCCTGTCAGTTTTTACAGGAAACAAGGGCAGATGAATATTAATTTTCTAAATTTTTTAGGGGTCCCACGGGTCAGATAGAACAGCTTTGCAGGCCATATTTTTCCCACCCGTGATGTATAGTGATGTAAAGGGAGCAAATAAGATTTCATTCAGGGTTAGTTGCAGTGATTTAGCTCACTGAAGTCCTGTAGTTCTTTAGCAGCTGGGCACACTTCTTAGCATCAATTTCTTGTTCCCTTGTAAAGCAGTTGAAAGTCCACAGTCAGAGAGTCTGAATCTCTGACCCAGTAGTTATGGCACTCGTCTGGGAGATTCAGCTTTGAGTTTTTGTTTGGTCTTCTAAGTGGAGATCCTGGTTTTCTCTGTTTAAAAATCACACATCTCTGATAAAACCCCACATTCTCTGATTATAAACCCTCCATGTTCATGCTTTTCTGTGATTAAAGTGAAACACCACTATATATATATAGGTATCTGTTGAACACAACGGTTTATTGATATATTTACAATGTTAAGCCAATTTGGAAGTCTACCACTTCCTCAATGATTAAAATAAAATAAATTCTAAAAACCTGTATATTTTGGCATTTGATTTTGGTTTTTTTTATCATGGAAAATCAGAGCTCCCCCTGCCACCTTCACTCATTACGACATGGGTCCAGCTGTGCCCCGCCCCCCCACTGCTTTGCGGTGCTGAGCAGCCCTGATATGCCAATGCCCTGCCCATGCCGTTGCGCCTCATTCCTGACTTGCAACCCCCTGGTCTTACCAGTGCCTCTCAGTCCCAACCCATAGCCCACCCCCCCCATCCCTGCTGGTGCTGGGTCCTGCCAGTGCCCTTCACTCCTGACCTATACCCCGGCCCCCCAGCCCTGCTGGTGCCCCTCGCTCCTGACCCACAGGCCCCGCCCTGCTGGATAGGGTATCCAGCTATCAGGGCTATGGGACCAGGGCCCACGGCCCCCTGCCCCCAGCAACATGCGAGTCCTGGCTCCCACAGCCAGAGAGGAGTGCAGAGCCTAGCTCCCCCACCCCTGTGGGTGGCATGGCTGGAGCGGAGCCTGTCGTGGCAGGAGGGGAGAATGCAGTCTGCCCACTGCAGGTTTGGGGCTCCCCGCACAGCTATCTTCCCCCTGGGGGCCTCTGCTGCCTAGCGGGCAGGATCCAGTGCAGCAGGGCAGGGAAGATCAGTGCCGCCACCAGGAGCCCTGTGCTGCTATGGTGAGGCACCCCCAGCCCTCCTGGCAGCAGCGGCAGCTGGGTTGCGGAGGCCTCCAGGGGAAGGACAGCAGTGTGGGGACCCCCAAACCTGCAATGGGCAGCCTGCATCTGTCCCCACCCTGAGCACGAATCTGGGGGACGTGCCTCCCCCCCTCCAGTACCCTGCCATGTGTGTGCAGCAGTGGAGAGCTGGCCCCCCAGATGAGCTGCTAGTGGCTCCATCCCACTCCTCGCTCGGGCTCTGTAGCCGCACATTCCCACCCCAGGCCCCATACACTGCCCTGGCTGGGCAGTGACCCCAGCCCTGCCCAACTCCCTCCCTCACTGTGGGGGCTACCTCCCTTCCCTGTTTACCTGGAGGGAGCTATGGAAGCTGATCTCCATGCTGCCTGGCTACCATGTACATGCATGTGTGTGCGCACAGGTGCATGTGGCGCCCCCTGCCTGATCGCCTTCCTCCCACTGTCCCCAGGTCCAAGCAGTTCCCTTGCAGGCTGGAACTCTGCCAGTGTGCAAGGGGAAACTTATAGTTTCCTGCATTCTTTTCCTTTATAGGGGCAAGTCCACAATTTTCCCATTAAAAGGAGAAAATCCATGTTTTTCTCCTTAAAAAGGGAGAATCCAAATCTTTCTGTGGCAAACAAAACCCAGATCCCTGCTCATAAGACTGGATTTTGAAGCTGAGTTTCTCACATCCCATATCAGTGCCCTAACCATCAGGCTTGGTTATTCTGGGCTGGGGGCTTCTCTTGTTCTTTTTTGAGGAAGCTTGGATTGGGCTTGGTTTCACCCTGATCTAGAATGGAAGAAATTTTAAATCCACCAATTTTCAGTGTTGGAAAACTGTTTCCTATCCAGTTCTATTAAGGAGCTGGCATTTACTCTCTGATCTAGGGGTTGATTATTTGTGGTTAACTATGAAAACTGTGTAACCTTGTCTAGTGAGAACACTGATAGTTATACAGGATGAAGTAATGGCACTCAATATTGGTTTTCAGGGCAAGCTGCAGCTAACTGCCACACATCAGTGGAAAGGATTTCTTCTTGATCCAACATGGTACAATTAGCTGACTGTTTATACTGGGGTTACCTTGGGTGTCTTTCTCTGATGTGTCAAGTCATATGCACTTTAGGAAGAAGTGCTACACTGGACTGGATGTACTAATGATTTAGTTGAGCATGACAGTTTCTACTTCCTTCCAAGTTAACTGTTGTTTGGCTTGTGAATCTTTCCCCCACGGTGGTAAATGTTGTTCGCCTGGTGTATTTTCAGGTGCAGTAGAGCGGCAACATTTTCGTAATGTGCACAACTGTGTCTATTTTGCTGTGCAAGTCTTAGATCGTCAGTATGAGTAAGTTGAACCTTTTTCTTCCTTTGTGCATAGGGGTGGGTACATGCATGTAAAAGACTGAGAAAGGTATTCTTGGGTTTCAGGAGGGGGCAGTCTTATAGCCTTTTCAGTTTAGGAGCATGAGGCCAAGTCATTCTCCTGATTTCATGCTGAGTTGGTGACTCAGCCTGACCTGGAAAACTAGGATTTTCCTTTGTGCTTACACTTGTGCCTAGTGGAGATGTTACAAAATGATACATTCAAAATGCAGTTAAAATTTGGTGAAAATGTTCGGTTTCAGATTTCATTGCAACTGGGGAAGACTCTGAGGTCCCTTTCTTCATATAATTGATATTTGCAGTGGGCCCTGCTGATGCCAGTTGGATCCAGAAGCCAGTTGTGCAGTGGTTAAAAGTGATGTTTGAGAAGAAAGTGTGAACTTAAAGATTTGGTTTCTCAAAGTTATTTGTGTGTGTATGTATGTGGTCTCTTGGCAGAATTATTTCCCACTTAGAGAAGGGGACCTTGAAACTCTTGGCTGAGAATGAGCGGATTGCATCCTTTTCCCCTCGCCTGCATGAGAGGCTGAGGCAGGCTTATGAAAGCAGCACAGCCAAGGTAAAAACTGAAGACCCCATGGGAATTTAAATGTGTGGAATCGAGGAGTTACAATAATCTAATGTTTTTCTTTATCCTCTCTTTGTTGTTGTCTTTACTGATTAACAGCCTATCTTCACCCTGCTGGGGGCAGGGGTCACTTCTTGCTTACTATTAAGACAATACAAAAAAACACCTTTCTCCATTCATATTGGGTCTGTGGATTGTTAGGACTAATGATCTGTAGCCAGAAGTCCCTGTAGTAACTAACTTGTGTTGGTTTGGCAGCGAGATCTTGACCTCACTTGACTTAGTTAAAAAATTAACCTTGACTTCCAGAATGTCACTATCAGACTCTTGCCTATAGTTAATCTGGAGGTAGGAATCCCAATGTAGTGGATTGGGATTTGAAACTTTCCCACTCGGTCTCAGACTTGCCATACTTCAAGCAAACCATTGAATCTGCTTTAGATTTCATCTTGCCCTCTGTTTAAAACTTGGGGTAATGCTTCCTTTCCCCACATCAGTGTTGTGTGAATAAAACGCATGAATGCTTGTGAAATACTTGGGGGATGAGGAATGTAGAAGAAATCTAGACAGAGAGGTAAAATCTATGGCATCTTTCAGAAGAGGTGAGGGTAGCGGATCAAGTGGGAACTGCCAGCTGCTAGTCCTGCCATCCCAGAAGTCCTGTGTTGAGCTTATATGCCTTAAATGATTGAGTCCATGGCTTTCTTTCCTCTCCCCAGGGCATATTATTGCCAATTCCATTCTCGTAGGAAGGTTCTTTCAAAAGCAATATAAAATGGCTTGTTGTACCAGTGTTTTCACGCCAGAATTTAGCATTCCCCAACCATTAATGATTAAGCATTTAAATCACCCAACTATGGTAATATCTGATTTCACATTAGTTTAATTTTGCCTGTCTAGCTGTTGAACTGTACATCAAATCAGGGAATTGTATTTTGCTAATGAATGGTTTTATATATTCAACAGGTTTCTCTCCTGCTGCCTTCATCTGTACAATCTGTTTCTTTCCAGCCAGAAACTGATAATCGCTCTAATTTTCCCAGTGACAGGGCATTTCATATTTTTAAGAAGCAAAGGTGAGTATTGTCCAATTTTAATGCGTTTGTTTTGGGTCAAAATCTATTCGTGGTCATTAATAGTAAACTCTGTGGCCATATCCAGACGAGTGCAGCTATGTGGTATGTGGCACTGCAGATGCATCTGTGGCACCACCTACTGCACATTTAGATGTTTTCTATGCTGCAAGGCTGTGCTGCCCATAGGTGTGCTGCTTCACTTTTTTCCCCCCACGGGTTTTTTTGACCTCTGGATATCTAGGGGTCAGAAAAGCCTGTGGGGGAAAAAAAAGGCAGAGCAGCGCATGCATGAGCAGCAGTGCTGCTCAAAAATGGAGCCAGGTTACCCGGAGCCATGCTTTGGCTGCTGGTCAGGCTCTGCGTGGCAGAATTGCCACTGCTGCAGCCCTGGGAGGCCTCCAGGACCCCAGGTAAGGCTGCTGAGGCCAGTCCAGTGCTGGCCCCAGGCCCCCCTATTCCACCCAGGGTAACTTGCCACATGCCAGAGTGCGTGCATATGGCATTGGTGTTCCCCAGGGACAAGTAGTGGTGGCACAAGGTGCACCACCTCTGCTTGTCCGTGCGGAACCAAATGTCCACATTCATTTGGACGTGGCATCTAACTAATACTATACATTTGCAGCAGTGTGGGAAAAAGACTTCACGATCTTTAGCTCTAAAAACAGGCCCCCACTATTTGAATCGGTCAGGGGGGTGAGGACCTTAACTCAGTTTAAGAATGGAAACCACTGTATAAGTAACAGAACAGCATGCCACAAGATGGATTCATTTCTGCCTTTGGGGTTATTCATAAATTTCATAGACATCAGGGCTGGAAGGGACCTCGCAAGATCATCAGGTCCAGCCCCCTGCCCAAGGGGCAAGAAGTCTGCTGGGATCAAATGATCCCAACAAGATTAGCATCCAAATGTATTTAGATTCCTTTCCAGATTCCTTTTGGTCTTTCCCATGTTGGGGTGAGATGGTGAAGAAGGATCTTCTGTTTTCTTGGGTTTTTCCTTTCTTCTAGAATTGGTTTCATATCATTTCTATTCACTTTTGTCTGCTGACAGACTCACAACACATCTTCCTTCTGTTTTGTATCCCCCTGCTTAGTCTGATAATGGGAGGTGGGGCTATTTTGATAATTTTATCTAAACTCAGGGAGAGCAAACAAGAACACCTGTCAGTAACGGAGTGCAGAATAAAAACAGTCGTATCAAATCAGTAATCTCAGTGGCAATTAACACTGCTACAGGGTAGTAGAATACATGGGGACTTTCATCTGACTTTAGTGTAGTTTGAAGTTGATTTCTATAGGAGAAGTCTTGTGCCATATCGGCTGGGCATCCAGTTACAGTTTGTTCAGAAACTGGAGGCCAAGGAGTTGACCCATCTCTATCTTTTGCTCACTAGGGACATCTTCTATGAGTTGCTGCGTGAATGGGAAGATAACCATGAAAAACCAGCTTGGGATTTTGAAAGAGTCCTGGGCAACAAGATCAGGTAAGAATCTGGTGATTCAGGTAGCCAAGAGTTCAGTGATTTCATATAACTTGCATAAAAAACAGACCAGATTTGCAGTATGCTTCTGTATGCCATATTCACTTGCATATCTTGTGCACCTTTCCCCAAAAATCAGCCCTCTGAATTTGGGGTGCATGTCTTAAGCAGAGAAGCTGGTCTACCTTTGCTGGAATAGAAGGAGTAAAGGAGAGTACCTGTAGACAGTGTGCTCTACTTGCTCCCAAAATGATTGCCACTTCTCTGGCCTCAGCAAGGAGAAGAGGCAGACTCCTCTGTTAATTGTCTGAGGCCTGTCCTTGTTGCTGTCCTACCATATCAGGAAGTTCCTCACCCAGGCTGTCTCCTAGCGTGCCAGACTTTCTGGGTACTCTTATTTTTCCAGGAGGACCTGCTCTGTTATAGTCTGCTGTTACTCTGGAAAAATATATTTTTGTACATTTTTCCTTCCAGAAAGAGATTGAGTGTCTTATTTGGGGGCCTGTGGTATATGAGAAAATATGGTAGATGTGTGCTGCCCATAGAGCCTATTGATCCCAGCTCCTAATTTTCTCTGTAGCTCCAATCAGCCTTTTCTTCAAATCTTCTGCTCAGCCTTCTTGCTTGTTGGGAGCAGAAGATTTTCTCCATATTAAGGATGTTGGCTAACACATTACAGAACAATGAGCTGTACCTGAACCATTTGATTATTCCTGCTAGGGACTTGAATGGGTTAAATGATTAATTGTTTAACTGATAAGTTTAGTGATAAGTGGTTATAGCTTAGTGGTGCTTGTTTAACAGGGGCTGGGGGCAAGGAGCAGTCTGGCAGGGAAGGGCAGGAAGGAAGCCACACATGCCCCAGATGGTGGCAAGGAAGGTGGAAGGGAGGAGTGGGGGAGGGTGGGGAGGAGGAATAGTGGGGAGGGGATTAGTACCTATAGTTAGGCTTTGTGGTCCCTGGTGCGGTTACTTCCAGCCTCCCTGCCTCCTGCCACGAACAACTCAGGCTCCAAGTAGGCCCCTCTCACCTGCCCCAGAGCCCGGGCTGCTTGAGGCATGCAGTGGAGATGCTGCAAGCAGCTGCACAAGGGTCTGCATAGTTTAGCAGAGTGGGCAGTTATTCGGGCCCAAGGGCCACTTAGGGAGTTTTGGTGAGCTGTTGCAGGCTGAGTCATTTCCCTTTCCTTCACCCCTCCCCAACAGCTCACCAAAACTCCCTTAGTGGCTCAGCTCCGTGCTGGCCTGGGTGGGTGGGACAAGGCTGCTGGTGAGTGGGAACTGTGATGGGTGGGGCTGGGTTGGGGGCTTGGATCGTGGGGCTGTGACAGTGTGGGGCCAGATCTTGGGGCAGAGATGCAATCTGTTTCCTGCATGCACCTGTAACATATGCTGGTTCCACAGGCAGGGGCATGCGGGGAGTGGGGAGTTAATTGTGGCTCTGCCCTGGGCCCCAGCCTGTGCTGTCACCACTCCACAATCGCAGCCCCAGCCCCACTTGCCCATCCTGCTCTCAGATGCCACTCCCCGCTGGCCCAGGGCCCTATGCCAGCCACGTACCCTGCCCACACAGGTCCCACCCCCAGCGGTGGGTGTGGGGCAGATGGGCCCGTGTGCCCAGTCAGCAGGGTTAGGTCCAGTGGCTGCAGCAGCTGGAAGGAGCCACCACTGCCAGGAAGTGGAGTCCAGCAGCCAAACTGCCCCAGTCCCACAGTGCACCTGGGGGTGTCTACCAGCCACACGTGCCATGGTCTGGGCTGCCCTCTGTGTCTGGGCCGGGCGGGGCAGAGGGACCCAACGCAGTCCAGACAAAATCCCTTGGTGGGCCAGCCAGAAGGGATTAGGTGATTCACAGAACGGTAATAATTAGGTACTAGTTCACCCTCCTCTCCTCGCTTCTCCCTCCCTTCTGCCTACCCTGGGGTTGCCATAACAAGTAATTGTGTTTAACCATTGTAATTACAACAGGTTAAATGGATATTTTTAAAATTGGTACTTGCATCCCAAATTCCTGCTGTAAACTTACCAACTGCTCATTCCTAAATAGAGTCTATCTGTCTGCACTAGAGAGTAAGACCCATTTAACCTGTGCGTTTTTTTGCATGTGTTTTTTATACAACTGGACCTACATAACAAGCTCTCTACATGTTCAGAGATTATTAATTGTGTTATTTCACAATAGTTCTGATATATTAGCTCTGGGAAGAATTTGAGCTTGGGTATTGCTGGGAAGCACAATGCTTCTGTATTGGCACTGCAAAAAAGAAAATAGTACTTTTAAATAAACATTCATCTTTGAAAAGTTACTGTAAAATGGCTGCTGTGTTTGCTTCTGTTTTTTATTCTCAGTGGGTGCATCTACACATGCCATTAAGGCGAAATGAGAAACTCCAGCACAGTTCACACTGGAGTTAGCTGTTCCCAGGTGCAACATCTACACGTGTGCCCAGGACTACAGCAATTTGAGCCGAAGCAGAGCAGTACTGGGCTGGTGGAAGGTCCAGGGGGTCAGCTCTAGGCTCCAGATAGCAGCATCAGGCAACAGAGGATCTGGCTGGGGCACGAGGGTGCTGAAGTACAGGGCCAGGTGGCAGGCAGCCCCTGCACTTCAGCATCCTTATGTCCCCTCCAGCTCCTGTCTCAGACCACATGTGTTTCAGCACGCATAGTTACTAACATTAACGGTCAGGGACATTAACTAACTCTGCCATAGGATAGTACCATCAGGGACAGTGCTATTGTACAACAGTTAGTTAATATACTGTGTCCCAGTTTCAGCGCACGTGTAGACTGTGATGCTTTACTGCAGAGCTAATTAGTCAACTCAGTAAAGTGCATATGTAGATGCACCCGGTAATTTCAATATTACACCTGTTCAATTTAAAAGCATGAACATGGCTTGTCTAATTGCTACTCTAACAAAAAATGTCTGAAATGAATTCCTCTTGCATGTTTTGCACAGGTCATCAATGAGAGAAACTAATTCTGCAGTTGGTACTTGGATAATGGCTTTGTTTATGAGAATGGGCATAGAGTCTAGCTTTCCTCTTGCATAACTATACTGGCTCTTTACTAATGGAAAATCTGATTAAAAAATTATTTTTGTGTCTCTAACCAACAGATGCTGCTTGAGATGCACAAAGCATGAACTAGATTGTAAATAAGACCTCACTTATTTCTACAAGTTCACTTTTCAAAGTAGAGTGGCACCAGAGGGTGTTTTTTGTAAAGAGCTCCCTGTTAGGCTTTTACTGTAGTTGAATATAGATTCTGTTTGACTGGTTCTTTGATATCAAAGTTTGTTTTTTGTTTGTTTTTGTTTTGTTTTGTGTTTTTTTTAATAGAGCTATGATGGCTCACCTTACAGCAACTTGTAACCACAGCCATTTTGCCAGACTCTTTCAAAAACAGCTTATCCAGGTAAATAAATAACTTCTTGTGTTTTCCATGTAGAAAGCAATTTTGCTGACCTTCAGTAAAATGTGAGGTAACATCTACATATTTCTGTTGTTCTGAGAAGAACGGGGTGGAGAAATCTCCCTCCCCTGCCCCCCACCCGTGATCTTTCCAAGTTAGAATTAAGGATACTGGGAACATAGGAATCTGTGGATAAAAAGGCCTTCAGTCTCAGGCTACGTGGCACTTCTTAGCAGCACTAAAAATAAAAAACACGTATATTTGAAAAAATTAAAAAAGGTCTGAATGATCTTCAGGTCTACCTCAGTTTACATTTTCTTGAGGTCTATCTCAATTTACATTTTCGCTGATTGGCTTTTTTGCATATGTACTAGCGTCTGGCTGCTTTACTATTCCATCCAGGAAGAGCACAGACCAACTGCAGACGCTTCCTCAGCCTAACCTGAAAGCTTGGAAAGGAGAATTTTTCAAGCTATTTGAGTTGGTGTAATAAAATATCTTGGATTTACGCAAAGAACCTTGTCTGCCTTTGTCCTTAGACCACCATGGCTACAACCTATACCCTTGAATGGTCTTGACACACTTATTTATGATTATGTACCTTAGTGGAATTAATTGGGTTTTTTTTAAATCTTTGAATGGATACAGTGGCCCTGACTTATTTTTTTCAACTGCATATTCTCCAAAAGGATACACAGCAATACTTATGAAGCACTGTTCTATTTCTGTGTGTTTTTGCCAGCTATAGTTCAGAATAACAAGATTGCTATAACCAGCAGAAAATAGGCAGAAATAGTTCTGCTTTGATTGTTTGTGCTGTTTCTTTGCATGATTTCTGCTGCCCTTCTTTCTAGAAGTCTCCTTTAATACAGTACAATAAAGAGAAGCACCTTTCAATTTTAAAACTTTAATAGTTGGCAGGGAGAGCTGTTCAGTACTAGAGCCAGAAACCCCTTGTAATGCATATTATAAAATCAAACCAGTTGGAAGTTGCTGTGCCTTTTGGAGGGTATTTTCTAAAGAGACCAGGGATTTAGATGTTCACATGGGGAATGAGACGCACCTAATTCCTTTAGTCTCGTTTGAAAATCTCCACTTTATAATGTAGTTCTGATTTGAAAAATTGCTGTATAAAAATATTGTCATCTTACTTTGCCATTTGTCCTACTGCGTATCCATGCTGATACCTATCAGTCTTCTTGAGGGAGAATAAAGTTTACTGTTCTGCTTCTATTTGCTCTGTAGAGCCCATAAAGTTAAAAAAAAAAAAAAAAAAAAAAAA